AGCAGTAGAAAGTGTCCTGCTGATGTGAATGTTAAATCCTCACTGAGTTTTAAACGTGAAAATGCAGATTTGTGTTACAGATACTGAGAAAGTCTTCTCGTCTATCCTCTGACCTCCAGCAGCACGTTCTGCTTTCTTCTTCTGTGGTGTTCGTCTGACAGGTGCCCAACACGAGTAGAGGTGCATTACCGCCACCTGCTGGAGTGGGAAAAGAGATTCTGCAGGGAAAAGTAACAACTACAAAAAATAGGAGCCAACACTTTGCTCCTATTTAAAACAAGTTTCCACGACATTTTAAAGCACTTTTACCCAGGATTCAAGCACATTTCCTGGCCTGTAAATTGCTGTGATGCGCCCTGGAAGTATCAGACTATTTAAACAACGTTTACCCAGGATTCAAATACCTTTCCTGCCTTGTCAAGTGCTGTGATGCAGCCTGTTCTCTGTGTACAGTCTTGTAAAATTAGCTGAAGCTGTCTGCTGGAGCCAACACTTTGCTCCCATTTAAAACAAGTTTCCACGACATTTTAAAGCACTTTTACCCAGGATTCAAGTACCTTTCCTGGCTTATAAAGTGCTGTGATGCACCCTGGAAGTGCCACACTATTTAAACAATGTTTACGTATACATTACAAACTTAATATTGAATTTAAGTATTACTATTAACATAGTATTAGTATTGATTTGTATTGGGAATTAGCCTTATTAAAGGGGGGAAATACATTTTTTATAACTAAAGACGTTCTCAGAATAAAATAATGACTTCCTATCTCAAAATAATGAGTTAGTAACTCTAAATAATGAGACATTTTTCCTAGAATAAGGATTTTGTATCTTAAAATATTTTTTATAATCTGTTGAGGTAAAACTAATTTAACAGATAATGCATGATGAGATATTATGGATTAAAATTAAACGTTATTGATCAATATTATTTAGCAAAAATAATATAGATTAGTTGAAATGAGTTCCACAGAAACACACATTGATGCACCTATAGTTATAATCAGTGCCGGTTCTAGCCAATTTGATGCCCTAGGCGAGATTTTAGATGGCACCCCCCCCCCTCCCTATAGAATATATAAACAATAAATGAAACATCTCTACAAAAGACAAATACACTTCAAAAACAGAAACTTATTGACATAGGTCATATACATCAAAAAGGCTTCAAATGTATTCAGTATTGTATGAACATGTTTGAATTGGGGGGTGGACATCACCTCCTCTAGGGGGGTCCAGGGGTATACACCCTCGGAAAAAATGTTTGAACATTTTAAAGTAAAATGCTTCAATCTGGTGCACTTTGAACAATTATTAGAGACTAGATCTGGGGGTACAACTCTAAAACACCCATATGAAAAAGATCGGTTTACATTTTAGTAATCAAATAAGTATGTGAACATAACCAATAACCTACCATAGCTAATAACAAATAAATGTAACTTATTTTATTTTTGTTGTTCATTCATATCTTATTTTACCTAGTTAACATTTTTTTTATTTCTCCAGTTTTAAACAATATTTTTGGTTTACTGTCGTATACATTGAAATGATTTCAAACCTGTTTATCCCAATAATTATAAAGGAGTGCCTTGGAAATATGTGTTTACATAAATTGTACAAAACGTTTGAGACCCAATGAGATAACTTAGACNGCGTGAATAAAAACGTGCGCTTGAAAAGGAGTACCTACCGAGAGGGTCCCACTGGGGCGTAAGTTGATGGACCTCGGGGTGATTGGCAGGAGGTGGGCTGAAGTTTGGGTGTTGGTTTGGTGTGCACTTGTTGATCAGGTGTGACTTGGCGTTCGCGCACTACTCTGGTGGCGGGCGGGGCGAAACTCAACCGTGGGGCCACCTACCGTTGGTAGAACAACGAGTGGCTGCCTGACCTGTGGGGGAGGCTGATCGTGGCGGTGCCCGAACAAACTGTAATTAGGCGTTTTCTCTGGAGACGCATAGTGGGCGTCGTGTGATTGCTCAGTTCGATAGGTGGGAGTTACGGTTGTTGGGTATCGTGCGGGAGGGGCAGGGGCTTGCGGATCGGGGTCGTGCGAATCGGGCTGAGGCCTCAGTTGTTGGCGCTGGGGGTGGGTTGAAGGCAACTAGTTTGTCCAGCCGGATACGTTGTCTGCCTAAGGGGGCGGGTCATCGCGGGAACGGCTGTGTGTAGTGTGGTTCGCGGTGGAGCGGGGTTTTGCTAGCAGACCGTGAGGAGAAAAATAAAGATCAATTAGCCATGTCATGTGGAAGGGATCGCACGCTGTGATAAGGATCAATACAACAACCCACCGTTGGACCGGTAAGTACGAACCCCTCGAGCAAATACACGAACCCCGTGCAAATAGGGACTGCTCCAGACTGGGCTGACTTTAAATCGATCGGGTAAAAAAATTTAGTTGAGCGGCGCAAACCGATGTGGCGTGCGTTGTTTCAGGGACAATACCGGAGACTTCGTGTCTTCTCTACAAAAGATTATCAGTCCAAAAGGTACAGACTTACATGAACTTTCAACAAAGATGAAATGTTTTTGTTCCAATATCAGATGTCTTCCAGATGATGGATATCCGATGGACTTAAGACTTTACATGATATAAGGATTATACGATAACGGATGTGAAATTAGTTTTAACGTGGAAAAGGAAACAGGACCAATCCGGTGCTCATGGTAGGCGAACGTTGGGCGTTATTTGTTACTAAGACAAGCGAGATTCCGATACATACAAGTCGAGTAGATAAGGTGACGCGATGTATCGGATTTGTTAGGGTTAGCAGTGTTGTTGTACGAAGGTGACAATAGTCCAGTATAAATATACACTAATTTTTACGCTAATTAACGCTAATTAATTAATGTTTCGGACATTAATAATCTAATTAAAAAAATTAGCTCAGGCCGGGATTATATATATGATATATTTAAAAAAAAAAAGTCAACTTAATATGAATTTCAAGTCCCATTAGTTGACAATTTTTATGAAAAAATGTCAAAAATTTCAATTACTTTATTAGCGTAAATTTAGCCGTTAATGTAATAACTGGGTTTATTAGGCTCTAATACTAAAGCTCGTCGGGATGTAATATGCGTTCATATGAATAGAATAGCATAATTTACACGACACATTATAACCGTGTATTGTTTCGTTATGGAAACACTTCCGGACTAATTTTCAGATGATATATTCTCGTATCGCAAGCAGTTTGCGAAATATTAATGTCAAAATTTACAGTAAATATGGCACAAGGCGACGTGGATAAAGAATTACGAGAATTACGAAACAAAACATTTCTTGAAAGTAAGGAACACAACTTTCCACGAATATCATAAGACAGAGATTAGTAGACAGGAGATTTCAATAGACAGAGTCTCATAGAACAGAGTATATCATAGGCAGAGATCTCATAGACAGAGACTAAGTAGACAGAGATCTCCATAGACAGAGATTCATAGGAACAGAGATATCATAGACAGAGTTTAGTAGACAGAGATATCATAGACAGAGATATTCGTAGACAGAGATATCGTAGACAGAGATTAGTAAGACAGAGATATCATTAGACAGGATATCAATAGACAGAGATTAGAGGAAGAGATCTGATAGACAGAGATATCATAGGACAGAGATTGATAGACAGGAGATCTGATAGACAGGGAGATATCATAGACAGAGATTAGTAGACAGAGATATCATAGGCAGAGATATCATAGACAGAGATCTCATAGACAGAGATCTCCTAGACAGGATATATACTAGACAGATATATCCTAGACCAGATATCCTAGACAGAGATATTCGTAGACAGAGATATCGTAGACATGAGATATCATAGACAGAGATATCATTAGACAGAGATCTCGTAGACAGAGATCTCATAGCCAGAGAATCTATAGCCAGAGATCTCATATGATAAGAGATATCATAGACAAGATCTCATAGACGAGATATCGTAGACAGAGATCTCATAGAACAGAGATCTCATAGACAGAGATTAGTAGCACAGAGATTAGTTAGACGAGATCTCATAGCAGAGATATCATAGACAGAGATATCATAGACAAGATATCGTAGACAGAGATCTCATAGAGAGATATCATAGACAGAGATTAGTAGACAGAGATATCATAGACAGAGATCTCGTGACCAAGGGTGGAAAAAGGGGCCGGTTAATTTTTTTAACGCGTTAATTTTTGTGTAATTAATTAATCTTAATTAACGCGTTAAAGTCCCGGCCCTAATATATATATATAAGAAAAAAAAATAATAATAATAAAGAAAATAATCGTTTTATTTCGATTATGTTGTTTTCGTAATCGTTGCAAGCCATAATCGTAATCGCGATTAAAATACGATTAATTGAGCAGCCCTATTATAATGTGTTGGTCACAGCTGCATAAAAACAAGGCATTGCACATAATTACAAATAAAAAAGAGTAGAAAATAAATATAAACATCTCAAAGAAGAAAGAAATTTGGAGCAGAGAGTTCTCTTCCAGCCAGAGTTGATTTGATGTACAGAGTTTTTGCAGTGGGCAGGAATGTTTCCCGTATCGATCCTTGTGACAGCGGAGCTGGAGCAGTCTAAGGGAGCTCCTTCCTGCCTGTCAGCTGCTGGCTGGTCGTAGTTATCCATGATTGACAGCAGTTATTATTATTATTTTTCGAAGTAGCCACAAAGTTTATTTGATTTAGTTTGTATAGGCTCACGAAGATTATCTTTAAAAAAAACACCACTGTTACTTTTGTATTGAAATTTTGGTTTTGTTGGTTTTCTCCAAACATCTGAAGCCTTAAAACGCAGAGATAGATAGATCGATATTTAACAGCGCTTTGCTGCCATCCTATGTTCATAAAAATAATGAAATGTTAGAATGAGCTTCTTTTAAGGGATGATATTTGAACAGTCCGCAGGTCCCCATTCATTGTAGTGTACCCAGGAATGTACGAATACAACTTAAACATGTGATGTTTCTGGAGTTAATTTGTCTCTTTGTGCTACAGTTCCATTTAAGGCCTTTGAGGGTCTGCGGGCAGAGGAGTGTGGGATCCTGAACGGCTGTGAGAACGGGCGCTGTGTGCGGGTTCAGGAGGGCTACACCTGCGACTGCTTCGACGGATACACCCTGGACCTGTCCCGCATGGCCTGCGTCGGTACGGTGCTGCTACACACAACCAAAACACAATAAAACTAAATTGATAGTCTATTTGCCAGCACTGGGAACCTGGGAATGTTGAGTACACCAACGTTTATGTTATAGTAAGTTCCCCAGCACTTACAAATTGCGGGATGCTAACTTGAATATGTAGGGAAATGTGCACAATTAGCATAATGTGCGTTGAATAGCATCAATTACCATTATATGTGGACAATGGTTAAAAAATGGATTGGCCAATTTGGGCAATTTTGGAGTAGTTTGGGGAGTTATTGAGGATGCTGAATCCATTTCTGACATTTCTGGCAAATGGCAGTTTTAACCAGAAAGTGGCCAATGTGTAATCTCGGTGAGCTGATTTTGACTACCATGAGCAGTGTTGCGATCATTAGATATAGAGAGCACAAGATGACAATTATTACCTCTACTGTTAAGAATTTCCCAACATATGCAAGTCAGCATCCGGCAGTTTCTATGTGCTGGGGACCCGTACTATACATTTCTATCATTACACTTTGATGTACTCAACATTTCTGGGTTCACAGTAGGATTCTATGAGCTGGCAGCTAGACTATTAACTAAAGAATATCTTACATGTTTTAAAGGGGACCAATCATGCAAAATGCACTTTTTGATGTCTTTTATACATAAATATGTGTCCCTGGTGTGTCAGGGAACTCACAAACTGTCAGAAAATAAAACCCTTTCTCTTTTCCTCCGTACCCAAATCTTTTAAAAACGGGGGTACAACGAGCTGATACAGATTTGTTGCCGATATTACGTAATTTCGGATGGTGGACCCACAGAAGGTTGCTATCAGAAACAATGCCGAAGTGTTTTGGACGTAATATGTTCTTTGTTTACATCGCTAACACTCAGAGCTAACGCAGTACTAGAGAGCACATGTGTTTTAAAAAGCAGGAAATAAAAAAAGGAACTCACCTTGTGATAAACCCGCAAGAGAAAAAGGATTTGAGCTCCATACTGTTTCAGAAATAATCCTTGATGTGGTTTAGAACAGCATAGCGTTTTATCACGGCAGAATTTTACTTTGGCCGTTTCTCAATCGCGAGGAAACTGGCTTCCAAGCCAATATTTCAAGGATACTACGTCATCGAGTGCCGCCGAAGGACTGTTCCAATCTCCAGCATACTTGGAATTCCACCGAGGCCGCGTCCTTGGTTTGGGGGTAATTTCGAGGCTGCACATGGGTAGACTTTGCGTCCTTCAAATCCCCACAATGCTTTGTGCACGGACCAATTTCCCCAAATCTGTGGCGGAAAATGTAAGGCGTGGCCTCTCATATGACGCACACCTGCACACTTGCTAGCCTGTTCCGCTCTTCGTTTTACGAATGGCAAGAAGGATTCTTGCCTAGCTTCTGAAGGAAGTGACTCGGAAGACATGTGCTACCAAGCAAGCATCCTCGCGATTGAGAAACGGCCACTATCTCCGGTAGAATTCTGATCAGGCATTAGCTCCGCCTCCTTTTTTTTTTTCAAGCTAAGGACCCAAAATCTGCGTTTCTCTAACAGGGCTAGAATAGAAGGATATAAGGGAGGTTTAAAATGCATGATCTGTTTGTATTTTGAGCAGAACACATCATAGACATGTTTTTATATTTTTTTATATATCTGAGACCCATAATATATGCCTAAAAATAGCATGATAGGTCCACTTTAATCTCATGTCTGTCCTCCTCTTTCCACAGATGTGAACGAGTGCTCGGAGCTAAACAGTAGGATGTCACTGTGTAAAAATGCAAAGTGCATTAACACAGTGGGTTCCTATCACTGTGTGTGTCTGCCGGGCTTCACTTCCTCTGACAAACCCAACTACTGTGTGGAGGCAGCAACACACCGAACAACACACACAGCGAGCAGGAACCGACACTAGGGGGCGCCAAGAGACACTAAAACACACGCACAAGCTTGTATTACTATACTTGTGAGGACACCCTCTGACATTCAGCCACTGCTAAATCTTTAACACCAACCTAGAAGGGAAACTCCCTGCTCTGGTTAAATTAGGCAGGAAACACCTCACAGCTGCTCATCTAGAGTGACCACGAGGAAAACTTTTGATTCAACGTATAAAAAAATCAGGGTGTTTCCCTTTAAACTGTAAAACATACTGTATATGTTAAATCTTTGCCCAAAATCAATTTACCTCAAAAACATTAAACTTTTAAGTTACTTTAGAATCAACCCAATCCTAACACAAAACTTACTCCATAATTTGGAAACAAATCCACGGCAGCTGTTTACCAGTGTCATGTATTTTTACTAATGTCCCTTTACTACACCATTGATTTTCTTTTCAGTACTTTTTGTACTTTTACTATGTGGAGTTTTAATATTTTAAATAACCCTTTTCTAAATATTATATGTATTCCTTTTACTAATGCTTCATTTTGTAGAAATCATAAAAGCATGATTTTCGATGGATGTTCACAGACTACACTGTTAACACTGAAGCTTGCCTCACTGTCTTTGTTTAAAGGAATTTAAGGATATAATGAGTTCTTTCCAAGAGTTGGGTGGGAGATTTCACGTCTGTATACAGCTGGCTTACCCTGAAAACTGGAAGCAGCACCATACAACATCTAGTAATATATCCGAGAGAAATATTAAGAAGGATGTAGGGTACATGTCATTGACAGCTTATTTCATTCCAATAGGAAGTTTTAAGGGCATTATGTATGATATTCCGGCATGTAAAATGGAAAACTAAAATGTAGCGTTGCAGGTAGTAAATATGAAGAAATTGATTGACATTCTTATCACTAGAGGCCTTCTGCTAGAGCTTTAAAGGTTCTAAATTCCACATTCAGAGCATCAATTGTAAAGGTATGTAAGGGACAACGTGAGCACAGATCGAACTCAAAGGGGGCCTGAGCACCAACCTTTTTGCCCTCAAATTAAAAGAGTCCTTTTTCAAATGTACTTTGTTTTACAAACAGTACATTTCTGTTTGTGCACATGTAAACCAGGTAACAAAGAGTTAACCACACAGAAGTGAATTTGCAGATCGTTGTAAAGAGTGCTCTTTAATGAATAAGGTTCCCTCTGACATCCTCTGCACGCTCCTGAGGAGAAGTGAGCAGAGAATTACGTCCTTCTTCCTCTGCTGTTGTCGTAATCTGAGTTTCTGTGTTTGTGTTGCTTGCATAGTTAGTGCATGTGAGTCCCTGTGTAGGTGTGGGTGTGTCCCTGTCCCACTGACAGGGTCCATGTGCTCTGAATTTGGAATTTAGCTCCTTTAAAGAATTCTTAGAAATGTTTCTGGAGCATATTTATAGTCGTCTCTGAGTAACTAACCTCTCACGTCCCTTCACATATGATGAAATATCAGAATATATAATAATCAGCCTTTTCTTTCTTACTTAACATAACATTTGATTGATTTCCTGAATCCGTAATTTTAATGTATGCTTATTTTGGTGTATGGATTTAAAATTATGTTTGTACTTGTTAAAGTTAAGCAGATGGCAAATGCTTAATTGAAGCCAAACAACTTTTATTTTACATGTCGAATGACTATCACAGAGGGGTGGATCTCCGTGTTTGTCTTCCAGAGCTTTATCCCTGCTTTTATCCTTGAGGAGACATTTGATCCTTAAAAGTATAGAAATACAACAAACAAACACACACACACACACACACACACACACACACACACACACATGAATTAACGCCCATATACTCTGCACTGTATAAGATTCACACTACATGAAACAAACAGTTACTTACTTGAGATGAAGATTCAGCTTAATCTACTATGTGGTGCCGATGTGGGGATAGAAACAGAATTGTATGAAATGTATGTTTTGTCTGGTATTTTTCTAAGTTTGTTTCTCTACTTTAAGCGGTCTTTCATGTGTAAAGGCCTTTTTACTCATTTAACGTATTGACAAACCCATTGGACTCGTGCTGGGGGATCCAGTAGTTATTTTGTACCCAGTCAAAGTGATTGTGGATATTTAATTCTGTGAAGAGGCCGAAGTGGCTCCCTCTCTTCCTCCACTGCCATCCCTGTGTCTGCCTTAAAGAAAAGCTTGTTTCTACACTACAGCACCACCAAATCATGCTACATGCACATTTGTAATGTTCTAAAGAAGGTTTCTCCTGTAAAGCCTTTGAAATAAGCCTTTAGTGGGACTTATGGCGCGTTTCCACTGCAGCGCGGAGCTGGCTTTAAGCGTGCCGAGCCGTGCGGGGCCCGTTTTTGGTTGCGTGTTTGTTTCCACTTGGCCTAGTACCGGCTAGCGGGTCCTAATTCACAGTTTTTCTGGCCCCATAAAATTGCAGCCTGGTTGTTCCTGGCCCTAGAACCACAATTTTATGGGGCCAGAAAAACTGTGAATTAGGACCCGCTAGCCGGTACTAGGCCAAGTGGAAACAAACACGCAACCAAAAACGGGCCCCGCACGGCTCNGTCCACCCCCAAATAAAGCAGGTTAAAATCATTAAATTGCATACATTTTCTTTTAGTAAACACTGAAAACGGGTCCCACAGACCCAAACAGCACACAAAGGTTAAAGGTAAGCATATAATAATGTTCAAATGTGCTAAATATATACACTGCAAAAAACAAAAAAAAGAGGAGTAAAAGTAGCTCACGACTTGTTTTATTTGTTCAAAGTAGCTCTCATCCTAAAAAAGCTTGGAGACCCCTGTTATAGAACGATACATTTAA